CTATATCTACAATATAATATATTTATAATATATTCATATGATCATGTCATAGCCAGCCTGGCTGAACTGCAACTGCCCCATATTCTTGTTTTCTTAAACCCATCCTGTTTCCTGAGCATGATTCTTTCCCGGATGTGTTGCGCTGTGCTCTCAAATGAGCCCAAATATTGTTTTAGGTGTCTTGCCCAGAGAAGAGACACTGAGCAGGAGGTATCTACCCTCTCTGAGCTTGTTTCTCAGTGTGGTCCCCGGCACTTCCCTGCTGGGATCAAAGGAATGGGCAGCATCCCATCCCAGCAGCATCCCATCCTGGCAGCATCCCCATGTCTCATCCCGGCAGCGAGGACCTGGGCTGGGGTCTGAGATGCACTGGGTGACCCTCCTTACTGTAGGAGTCGCGGGGTTCAGACTGGTGCCCACATACCCTCCTTGACCAATATGGGGATGCTGCCCTCCTGGGTAGTGCAGATAGCTCTGCTACGGGCCTTTGTCTGGAGGCAACATCCTTAGGAAGGAATCTGTGGCAGTTTCTTGTATAAACAAGTGGCTTGGATGTGTCCAGTTCTTGCAAAACCCAAATAAATGGTAAGGAAGTGCAGATTAGTCTAAGAAATACAAAACTGGGCCTGCGGTGGACTGGGGACCCACCAGCAGTGCATACTTGGGGCAGAGAAGCTGTCTGGTGCTGGGGAGCTCTCTGGAGAGGGAAAATGAGAAGTATGGCCAAAACACTGCTGACAGGCTGGCTGGATCCTGGCCACCACCTCCACTTGGCTCACCCAGTGTTGGAGCCAGCACAGGGCTTTTTACCGTGACTCACCAAGCCATGCCGGCAGCTGCAAGGTTGAAACCTCTGTGTGCCAGGACATAGACGCTTGGATGGAGAACACTCTCCATGCTGGGCAAATAAGCCTGATGTACACGGGGCACTCAGGGACATGGTGGCTGGGTGCACATCATGTTGTGGGGTGGCTTGGCTTGCAGTACATGTCCATCTGTGGCACGTGTCCATCCGTGACACATTTCTGTTTGTGGCGTGCATCCATCCATGGCAGCCCTCTGCGTGGTTTCCTTCCAGGGGGTGATTGCTGATTTGAAGCTGCAAGGCGACCCACAAGCGGCCGAGCACCAGTGCGAGGAGGAGGAGGATGACACTGAGGAGGTGAGTGCTGGCACCCTGGACTGGGCAGGCTGGGGGACTGCTGTCTTATGCTCCTGGATCACCTCTTGGTCCTTCTCCTTGGGCAAACACAGGTCTCTGGTGATTTTGGCAGTGGGGCAGAAGGTGGACACCAGCCCTCAGAGAAAGTTGTGGTGAGTTGGTACCCACCGGCACTGCAGTCAGTGGTGAGATTCCAAGATTCTGGGGATGAGGAGGGCTGGGTGCCCTCCATGGCCAAAGTTCTGGGATGCCTGACAGGGTCCCAGCACCTGTCTCTTTTGAGAGAGCACTAGGAGGTGAACGGCGCCACAGTGTACCCTTATTGTTGGCACAGGGTGTCCCAGGGCTGGTGGATGTCGTCCCAGTCACCTCTCCCCCAGTGGCAGCGGGCGGTGGGCTGAAGATTTTTTTTAGCCGAGAGGACCAGAGTGGAGGAGGCACTGCAGGTCTCTGCGGGAGGTAATGCCAGCAGCAGCATCTCCTTCCCCACCGTGCTGGCTGGCCCCAGGTCACACCGGCAGGGACATGGCGGGGCGGCTGTCCCCAAGCACAGCCAGATTCCTTTTCCCTTCCTGCAGCCACCGGCCTCAAAGGTGAAAAGGGAGAGAAAGGTGAGCGTGGCCTCAAAGGGGACACAGGAACCGGCAGCATCATGGGGACTGGCAGTGTCAAGGGTGAAAAGGTGGGTGAGGGGATTCTGGGGGCTCGAGGATACCACCTATGTGTCCGTGTTTGACACTGCTGCTCTTGGTTTCTGTCCCACAGGGAGAGAAAGGAGAAGTGGGTGTTAAGGTGAGTATCGCTGGGGGAGCCGGGGCAAAGCCATACCTGCCTGGGCTGCTACCCCTGGGAAGTGCTACCCATCTCTGTTTCCCTCCACAGGGCAGTGCAGGATTTGGCTACCCTGGCTCCAAGGGCCAGAAAGGGGAGCCGGGCGCCCCTAGCCCCGCCGGGACCCTCTCGCGGCATGCTGACGGCTTGGTGGTGGAGCAGGTCACTGGGCCACCGGGGCCGCCGGGGAAGGACGGAGCCCCTGGCAGGGATGGCGAGCCTGTGAGTCGAGTCTCCCACCCCTTGGGTATCCCCTCTGCCCTGATCCCTCCCTGTTAAACACTGACCTCTTCCTCTCTCTGCCATCTCTAGGGCGATCCCGGTGAGGATGGCAAACCCGTAAGTGGGGTGGGGGGGTGATGGGTGCTGGTCACACCTTTACCTCGCCACCTGTTGACCCTGCACTGCTCCCCTTTGCAGGGCGATATGGGGCCCCAGGGGTTCCCCGGGACGCCAGGGGAGCCTGGGCTGAAGGGGGAGAAGGTGAGTGCCAGTGCTGATGTCGGGGATGGCACGTGCTGCTCCCCCTCCTTTCTCTCTTCAGTGGCTGGGGGTGGACACTCTCTCCTCTGTGCCAGGGTGATCCAGGCGTGGGGCCAAGGGGACCCCCTGGACCACCCGGTCCCCCAGGACCACCGGGACCCTCATCCAAACATGACAAACTGGTGGGTGCTGCCCTGGGATACAGGGATTTGGAGGGGTGGTATGGGGCCATGGAGGAAAGGGATGCTGCTGCCAGCCCCCAGGCAGCATCCCCGCACCACTGGGCACCCCAGCCTTGGCCAACGGTGTCTGATGTCACCCTTATGCTTCTCCCCAAGACCTTCATCGACATGGAGGGCTCCGGATTCGGCGGTGACCTGGAGACCCTGCGGGTGAGTGCAGGTCCCCACCTACCGGCAGGGAGTGGAGGATGCGCTCAGCCATCATCCTCTCCTTCTCTTCTAGGGTCCACGAGGGCCACCTGGTCCCCCAGGCCCACCCGGCGTGCCAGGTTTGCCAGGGGAGCCAGGACGGTTTGGAATGAACCACACAGACCTGCCAGGACCACCAGGGCTGCCAGGCAGGGATGGGAGCCCTGGGCCTCCAGGGCCAGCGGTAGGTGTATGGAGTGGCCAAGGGGACCCATCCTAAGGCCACCCCGCAGCAGTGGGGCTGTAACTGCCCCCTGTGGCGGTGCGGGGCTTGATGCCCATCAGCCCCATGGGGTTTCTCCACGTTGGAGCCAGCTCCTGGGCATCTTGCAGGGTCCTCAGGGTCCTCCTGGAAAAGATGGGGCAGCTGGGCAGCCGGGGCCCAAAGGAGAGCAGGTGAGTGTCCCGTGTCCCCCAGGAGCATGTCGTGGGTTGTCCCAGGGTAGCCAGCAGCCCGAAGGGGCTTCAGCGGCTGCCACTCAGTCCCCAAGCACATCTCTGGGACATCCCAGCTCCCTCTGCCCCTGGGCTGGGGAGTATCATTCTGCTCCTGGAGCAAGTCAGCTTCTTCACACCCTCTTCCCCTTCCTTCTCCTCCCCAGGGTGATGTGGGTGACCTCGGCCTCCCTGGTGCACCGGGACCCAAGGTACTGTGCCTGGGGTGCATTTCTTGTAATGTGGGGGGGGATCTCATGTGCATTACAGCCTGGAGGCAGGGATGCTGCCTGGGGGGCCACCTCCTGCTGGAGTGGAGTGGGGGATGCCGGTATTTGCGTTCTTCCCAGAGCAGCCTGAGCTGAGGACAAAAGCCTCAAGAGTTCAAGGTTTCTTAATGCTGCCAACATTGAGAGGGCAGATGGGGCAGCAGTGGGGGTAAGGAATGATCCTGCCTTTCGGAGACACATAGCAAAGTGCAAGGGTGCCTGTGAGCACCCCCCCTACCCCGATGCTGAGCTCTGTCGCCGCATAGGAGCTGGTGATGTGCGCAAAATAAAAAATCCTATTTATGATTTTAGACGAGCCTCTGGTGGCTACTGGGCATATTGCATGGGAAGCTGGGGCTGTGGGAGGAGGACAGCTGGGACAAGGAATACAGGAGCTGGGTGATGCATCCATGCCCTGTCCCAAGAGGCAGTTTGGGGATGAGGGAGGGGGTGCTCTGCATTCTGCTTGCAGTCTCCAGGCAGGGACCATTGTCACCTTGTCTCATCTGTCCCCTTTTTTTTTGTCTCCTTTGCAGGGCAGCAAGGGAGAAACAGGACAAGCAGGAGCCCCAGGTGAAATGGGTTTAGCTGGCCTTCCCGGACCCATCGGACCTCGAGGGCAGCCAGGGCCCCCCGGTCCCCCAGGACCGCCGGGGCCAGGCTACGAGGCTGGATTTGTAAGTGATCACCCCTGTGATGGGGTTTGGGGTGGGATAAACGGGAGCAGGGGGCAGACATGGCTTAGCTCCTTTTCCTTCCCCCCACACCTAGGGTGACATGGAGGGCTCGGGACTGCCATTCACTGCCGTCTCTCCAGGACCACGTGGACCTGAAGGACCACAGGTACCTCCGCAGGGCATCCCCCGCCATTGTGTCCCTTGCCATCACCCCACACTCATGGCCTCCTTCTTGTTGCTTGCAGGGAGTGCCAGGACTGCCGGGGCTGAAGGTGAGGAGTCCATCAAATACCTTCCTTGCCCTTTGCTGGAGCCAGCTGCAGGAGCCTGGCTCCATCCTTTGCAGGATGCCCATGGGCAACCCATGGGGATGCTCCTGCTCTGATACCTCTTTCCTTGCAGGGGGAGGTTGGCAGCCCTGGGCAGCCTGGTTTGCCAGGACCAAAGGTAGGAGCACTGAGAGGTCAGCACGGGCTGTGTGTGAACCTCTGGAGTTGGAGGGGTGCTAGGAAGAACCCCTGTGCTCCCCAACCTGGGGCTGTCAGGAGGATGCTCTGTACTGCATCTAACCCTTTCCCATACTTTGTTGCAGGGAGATGCTGGCATGCCTGGTGTGGATGGCCGCCCTGGCCTGGAGGGCTTCCCTGGACCGCAGGTAGGAGCATCAGCCCCCCCTTTCCAGAATCTCCTCCATTGCTCCAGGCAGGGCACCCTTGCTCACTGCAGGGCCACTTGCAGCAGCCAAAAATCCATCCCCAGCAGTCACAATCTGCCCTCAGCAGCCAAAATCCTCCCTGCCAGTGCCTTTGGCTGTTCCCCTGCTCTGGGAGTGGGCTCTCTGCGTGCCAGGGATGCCCATGCTGCTTGGGATGCCATCCCAGTCAGCCTGCCACCCTGCTCGCCATCACCTCCACCCAAGCGCATCCCACCCTGGCCTTCTGCCTGGACCTTGCAGGCAGCAAGGGAGAAGTGGAGGGTAGGAGGTGGCCTGAAAGGTTTTGCTGAGCTGCAGGCAGGAGGGGGTCTCTGCATGTGGTACCAAGCAGGAAGTTCATCCCTGCCTGCTCCTCTTTCCAGGGGCCCAAAGGTGACAGAGGCAGTCCCGGCGAGAAGGTAGGTGCCACCGCGCAGGGGACGGGGACCGGCCAGTGGTGGCCCTGGGGCTGATGGCTTGTGTCTTCCAGGGTGAGCGAGGCCAAGACGGTGTGGGGCTGCCCGGCCCCCCTGGTCCACCCGGTCCCCCTGGACAGGTCATAGCTGTCTCAAGTGAAGATGTAAGTGAAGGCTCCTGACTTCACCATAGCTGCGGGAAGCTAAAATTGGGGCAGGGGAAGGGTCTGCCCAGCACCCATCTTGCAGGGGGACCAAGAGAGACCTCTCTGGGAGCTCTGACCTCTTCAGAGAGGATGATAAAACCCGTTTTGTCTCCTTTTGCAGAAGTCTTTGGTGGCTTTGCCTGGTCCAGAGGTAGGTGTCCCACTGCCACCCCTCAGCAGTGCCCAGTAGGCACCAAGTTTCTTTGGAAAGCCAAGGAGGGGTTGCTCTTACAAGAATCTCTGCTTCTCTCCACAGGGCAGACAGGGTCACGCTGGCTTCCCGGTGAGTCGGTGACAGGGCTGGGGACTGCAGGGGTGGCACAGTTTGGGCACACTTTGGTGAAACCTCTGGTTTGCTGCAGTGGTGCTGGGGTGGTGATGATGGAGGGCAGGAGTTTGGGGTCCTCCTTTGGTAGGTCAGGGCTGAGGTGGGCTCTGTGCTCCTCCCTGCAGGGTCCAGTGGGACCGAAAGGAGATCGGGGATCGCCTGGTCCCCAGGGCTCCCTGGGCTTGAAGGTAACTGCTTCAGGCCACCTCTGCCCTGTGGGGTGGTCATGCTTCTGGTTCCTTGTCCTGTGTGGTCACAGGATCCCTGTGGTGACACCAGCACCACAGTGGGAGGAAGCCTGGCCCCTCCATGTCCCCTTGCGCCTCTTTTGCAGGGGGAAAAGGGGGAGCCCGGTGTCATCATCAGCCCTGATGGGACCGTGGTCACCGCGAAGGTGAAAGGAGAAAAGGTGGGTGTGCTGCAGGAATGGGGGGCACGTCCCGTGTGGTCCTGGTGGTGATGCCTTTTCCCTCTCCGCTGTCTGCAGGGGGAGCCGGGGCTGCGGGGACCGGTGGGACCCTCGGTAAGTCACCATCATCCTTCTCGTATCCCACAGGAAGGGACTGGGCTCATCCAGGGCAGAGGGGATGGAGGGTGCCCCCACTCTGAGCACCCTCATTCTTCTCTTCTCTCCCTTCCAGGGTCCCCAGGGACGAGCGGGGATGAAGGGCGAGATCGGCTTTCCGGGCAGACCTGTAAGACCTGCTCCTGGTTTGTTTGGCTCCTCGGCCATCACCTCCTCAACCGCATCCTCCCACCCCATTTGCACATCTTGCACCCCCCCAAACCCCAAACTCCCATTGTGTCCCTGTGGTGCAAAGGGGTGGGGTGATGCTGGGGTGCCAGCCATGATGCTGGGGTGTCACCTCAGCGCTGGTGGGGAAGGGGGTATGGGGACAAGGCTCATCTGTGCTTCTCATCTGCAGGGACGTCCTGGCATGAATGGGCTGAAGGGCGAGAAGGGTGACCCCGCGGATGTCAGCAGTGTGCTGGGCTTGCGGGTGAGCGCTGCTGTGGCCCCCCACCCCAGGCTGCTGGCCCAGCAGATCAGGGGGGACACCCCAAGGGGCTCCCTGGGGACCCAAATCCCTTTAGCAAAGGGCATATTCCTCCCTTTCTCAGGGACTGGTTGCCCCTCTGGGGCAGGGCATGGCCCTAGTGTACCCCCCTGGGGACTGTCCACTTTGCAGGGCCTTGATGCATCATCTTTCCCCCTACAGGGTCCCCCGGGATCTCCAGGTCCCCCAGGCCCCCCTGGGCCACCTGGCAGCGTAGTCTACGACAGCAGCAATGTGAGTAACAACAGTCACCGTGATGGAGGAAGCTGAGGGCTGGTGACCAGGTCCCCCCCAGTGCCCCCTGCTGGGGGGGGGCGTGAGGACACTCTGGTAGCATCCTGGTGGGGCCATCTGCATCCCATCGAGGCGGGTGTCCCTGAGGATGCTGCCATCTCTGCAGATGCTTCCTTTGCATCCCCGCAGGCTTTCAGCGACTCCGGCCATCCTGTGCTGCCAGCCTTCCCTGGTAAGACAGTGTCCCTCTCCCAGCCTCCTGGGGCTGGTTTGGGGTCCCCTGGCAAGGTGGGGTGACGGGAGATCCCTTGCATGGGCTGGGATGCTGCAGTGCTGTGATGGTATCTCTCTGCAGGTTTCCACCAGTTTCCAGGACAAAAGGGAGAGAAAGGTGATGCAGGAGCCCCAGGACCCCCAGGTGGGTGACCCATCCCCGTGAGCAGGGGTGGGCAGAGGGTGGCTCTGCCCACCCTGGCTCTCCCCTCCCCTCCTCTCCCTCTCCACAGGCCACTTCCCCTATGACCTGAGTCACTT